CACTCACAGTATACCACACAGCATACCACACAGTATACCACTCACAACATACCACACAATATACCACACAGTATACCACACTATACCACACACAATATACCACACAGTATACCACACAGTATACCACTCATAGTATACTACACACAGTATACCACACACAGTATACCACAGTACACCACACAGTATACCACACAGTATACCACACTCAGTACACCACATAGTATACCACATAGTTTACCACACAGTACACCACTCACAGTATACCACACACAGTATACCACATAGTATACCAGACAGTATACCACTCACAGTATACCACACACAGTATACCACATAGTATACCAAACAGTATACCACACAGTATACCACTCACAGTATACCACACACTGTATACCACATAGTATACCAAACAGTATACCACACAGTATACCACTCACAGTATACCACACACAGTATACCACATAGTATACCACATAGTATACCACATAGTATACCACTCACAGTATACCACACACAGTATACCACATAGTATATCACACAGTATACCACTCACAGTATACCACACAGTATACCACATAGTATACCACATAGTATACCACACAGTATACCACTCACAGTATACCACACACAGTATACCACATAGTATACCACACAGTATACCACACAGTATACCACTCACAGTATACCACACACAGTATACCACATAGTATACCACACAGTATACCACTCACAGTATACCACACACAGTATACCACATAGTATACCAAACAGTATACCACACAGTATACCACTCACAGTATACCACACACAGTATACCACATAGTATGCCACACAGTATACCACTCACAGTATACCACACACAGTATACCACATATTATACCAAACAGTATACCACACAGTATACCACTCACAGTATACCACACACAGTATACCACATAGTATACCAAACAGTATACCACACAGTATACCACTCACAGTATACCACACACAGTATACCACATAGTATACCACACAGTATACCACACAGTATACCACACAGTATACCACTCACAGTATACCACACACAGTATACCACATAGTGTACCACACAGTATACCACTCACAGTATACCACACACAGTATACCACATAGTATACCAAACAGTATACCACACAGTATACCACTCACAGTATACCACACCTGTATACCACATAGTATACCAAACAGTATACCACACAGTATACCACTCACAGTATACCACACACACTATACCACATAGTATACCACGTATACCACATAGTATACCACTCACAGTATACCACACACAGTATACCACATAGTATATCACACAGTATACCACACAGTATACCACTCACAGTATACCACACAGTATACCACATAGTATACCACATAGTATACCACACAGTATACCACTCACAGTATACCACACACAGTATACCACATAGTATACCACACAGTATACCACACACAGTATACCACATAGTATACCACACAGTATACCACTCACAGTATACCACACACAGTATACCACATAGTATACCAAACAGTATACCACATAGTATACCAAACAGTATACCACACAGTATACCACTCACAGTATACCACACACAGTATACCATTCACAGTATACCACACACAGTATACCACATAGTATACCAAACAGTATACCACACAGTATACCACTCACAGTATACCACACACAGTATACCACATAGTATACCAAACAGTATACCACACAGTATACCACTCACAGTATACCACACACAGTATACCACATAGTATACCACACAGTATACCACACAGTATACCACACAGTATACCACACAGTATACCACTCACAGTATACCACACACAGTATACCACATAGTATACCACACAGTATACCACACAGTATACCACATAGTATACCACATAGTATACCACACAGTATACCACTCACAGTATACCACACACAGTATACCACATATTATACCACACAGTATACCACACAGTATACCACATAGTATACCACACAGTATACCACTCACAGTATACCACACACAGTATACCACATAGTATACCACATAGTATACCACACAGTATACCACTCACAGTATACCACACACAGTATGCCACATAGTATACCACATAGTATACCACACAGTATACCACTCACAGTATACCACACACAGTATAACACATAGTATACCACATAGTATACCACACAGTATACCACTCACAGTATACCACACACAGTATACCACATAGTATATCACACAGTATACCACACAGTATACCACTCACAGTATACCACACAGTATACCACATAGTATACCACATAGTATACCACACAGTATACCACTCACAGTATACCACACACAGTATACCACATATTATACCACACAGTATACCACAGTATACCACTCACAGTATACCACACACAGTATACCACATATCTCTCTCTCTCTCTTGCTCTCTCACTCTCCGTGTCTGTTCTCTTTCTCGTACCCAAAAAACACAACACAAAACAAAGGAACAATTACGTGGGAGTGGTTGCAAGCAAGAGTTGGTCTCCTCTCGCTCGCGCAACGACACCCACACAAATAATACTGACGATGTCCGCTCTTTTAAAACGGTGCAAATAATATTTTTCTCTCGATACGGTAATATTTATATGTATAAAAACACATTAGTAGAGGACGGAAATGAAAGTTGAAGGCGGAAGCCAAGATGGTAATTAAGCTGTCAACATGATGTGAAGTCGTTTATTAACGAGTCACCGGGAAGACGTCTGTCAACGCCGGGGAGGTGCTGGGGGCAACGGGGAGGTGCTGGGGGCGCCGGGGAGGTACTCGGTGGGTGCCGGGGAGGTACTCGGTGGGTGTCGGGGAGGTACTCGGTGGGTGTCGGGGAGGTACTCGGTGGGTGTCGGGGAGGTACTCGGTGGGTGCCGGGGAGGTACTCGGTGGGTGTCGGGGAGGTACTCGGTGGGTGTCGGGGAGGTAATCGGTGGGTGCCGGGGATGTGCTCGGGGGCACCGGGGATGTGCTCGTGGGCACCGGGGATGTGCTCGTGGGCACCGGGGATGTGCTCGGGGGCAGCGTTGAGGTGATCGGGGCCCGGCACACATCGGCGACAATAAAAACCAGGCGGCCGTTGGTCGGGAAACTTGCTTATATTTTCCCGAATATTATTTTTTTCGGATGACAAGACTTGAAAACGAACATGATGGTTAAACAAATTGTAGAAGATGTATGGTAATTTTTATTTTATTTAGTGATAATTGACTGGCTGGAAGGAGAGGTTCAGAGATGATGATTTGATGATGCTGTGCTCACAGCAATGTCTTCTTATAAAGATTGATGCTGTGCTCACAGCAATGTCTTGTTATAAAGACTGATGCTGTGCTCACAGCAATGTCTTCTTATCAATAAAGATTGATGCTGTGCTCACAGCAATGTCTTGTTATCAATAAAGATTGATGCTGTGCTCACAGCAATGTCTTCTTATCAATAAAGATTGATGCTGTGCTCACAGCAATGTCTTCTTATCAATAAAGATTGATGCTGTGCTCACAGCATCTTTTTTTTTGGTCAGAAAACTTTTTTCTTTAATTTTCTCGTTTCATGTCCAATATTTTTTATTTTTTTTTTCAGTTTGTCTGCGTTTAGTTTCAATTGGCATTATTCATGTTTTCTTGCTGGATATAGAGCCTCTCTCTCTCTCTCTCTCTCTATTTCTCTCTCTATCTTTGAGTATACAACCAGATTTCAGGAATATTTCATTAGGCTTATTGAAGCCTCACAAATTATTCTCATCACTTTGCAACTTAATAATCACCAAGTGGATGTTGCAGTGCTCAAATATGCAAAAAAAATCAATAAAAAAATACAACAGCTAGAACAATAAAAAAGTCAAAATGAAAAGCCCGGACAAATTGCCCTTCAAACCTCCTGACAAAAAAAGATACACCTAACAGTAAAAAAAAAAAAGGAATGAAAAGCAGGACAGAAGAAAAATAAAAATCCTTTACTAATTATGACAAAAAGGCGGAAAATAACCACGATGGGATTTAATAAATGTCCCACCGAGGAAAATAAAAATACATCTCGGGAAATATTGATGTGATTGAACGATTTCAGAAAGTGACAGGATCCTCGCATCAAACTGACAGCCTAATTTACTTTGGAAAGTAAATGCGCTTGAGATTTTTGCCCCCTCGATTTATTAACTTTTTTTTTAATATAGATTTATGTGAGTCTTAGAGTGAGGGAGATTTATATACGTATTTGGGTGAAGGAGATTTATATTTCTTAGTCTTAGTAACGAAGATTTATATGTACGTCTTAAAGTGAGGGAAATTTATATATATGTCTTAAAGTGAGGGGGGGTTTACATATGTCTTAAAGTGAGGGGGGATTTACGTATGTCTTAAAGTGAGGGGGGATTTACGTATGTCTTAAAGTGAGGGGGGATTTACGTATGTCTTAAAGTGAGGGGGGATTTACGTATGTCTTAAAGTGAGGGGGGATTTACGTATGTCTTAAAGTGAGGGGGGGATTTACGTATGTTTAAAAGTGAGGGGGGGATTTACGTATGTCTTAAAGTGAGGGGGGGGATTTACGTATGTCTTAAAGTGAGGGGGGGATTTACGTACGTTTTAAAGCTAGAAAGAACTGTAAGCTGCCTCACACTTACGGAAATATTAAATTAAGTCTTAGTGTAAAAATCATGGAAATCTCTTTCGCTTTTTGGGTTAATATACAATACATTTAATAATCTTGTTTATATTTATCTTCTCAACATAGATCGAAAATCTCGTTAGTTAACCACCTGAAGACAAAAAAAAAAATTTTGTAAACAGATTTTTATTTAATTTTACGTTTTTTTTTTTTGATGAAGACCCAGACACGAGGGAAGAAATTCTCGAAGTTACACTGGCATTTAATTTCATGGAAAGTCACATAGGAATATATACATGTGTATATGTAATCTACGATAGGAAAACGTATGGTGCTTAC